CAGACAGACAGACAGACAGACAGACAGACAGACAGACAGACAGACAGACAAATCGCTGACTAACTCAGCGCCTAGCGATCATCGAACCAATGGATCAATCGACCAAATGGGAAATCGATTTATTAGTTTATAATCTACCCATATATCTAAGTATACACTAAATATTTTAGATAAAATCTTTCATTACCGCTTTTTGCCTCACTTGTCCAACTCACCATTTGGTAATGTAATGGATCCAGTCGGTTTAAACATGGGCAGATTTCTTGATCCCAGTGTAGTCATTGACTTCAAACTACCCGCACTGAATCCGTTACATCCGGGAAGGCTATCTTGGTGACCGAGTCGAACTGCATAGTTTCCGGGAAGCACTGTGGTCGGCGAAGGTGAGTTGAGTAGCATGCCTCGATGACCTAAAGAAACGGAGTCCACTCGAGACAAACCACGCGGATCATTTGCGTACAATGTACTACTCGGTGAGTCCATCAAACGTAGACGATTTGCCTCGGCTCGGACTGCATCCGCTCGCAGACTTCCGAAGTTTGGCCCAGCACTTGCCGTCAACGGATCCAGTGTTGCATCAAACCCGTTCAGTGTCCCGTTCGTTCGAGTCCCCATTAGATCATCTCCAAAGCTTTGCCCCAGTCCAGCCGAATAGGATGTCACAGTACCCGGAGGTGGTCCGTGAACTTCGACTAAGCTTCTTGTTCCAGTCAGATGACGTTTCGGACTGTGTTTCGTCGGATTCACCCAACTTAGTAGGGTCGAATAGGCTGGTGTGCACCGTCTGGGCCACAGCTTCCCGGTCCGATGTCGGTCACCAGTTTGAACTGAATCGCGAGACCAGGTGTCATAAGGCGCATATTTGGCTTGTGTATGCGCCGCGGCTGCAGGCTCGTCACGTTTTCGGCGTCTGTACAGAATAAGCAACAGACAGACCAAACCAAGACCAAGCAAAAGCACAGTGATTGAAATCACTGTGACCAGTATGGAAATGCGACTGGATCCTTTATGCGATCGGTTATTTGTCAACGAAACACCCGGAGACATGATTGATCGATCCACATTGGTGTTTGATTCAAAAGACAATGCTGGCATACCGTCTAGTTGGAAAGCACAAAAAAACAAGATGAAATAAAGTCCACTATGAATGACAAAGTGAGTGCATATTTGAATTGGAAAACGACGTGCCTCGGGAAGTAATACATGGAATGTGCGACAGTGAACACGAGCTAATTGCCCTATCTACGCTCTCTACAGGAAAATTGTCACGTAAGAACCTGAACTGTTTCCTGTTTTCTGATTCGGAACACTGAGTTGTATTAGGATATTTTGCAATTCATAATGATTCAGATCAATATCCCAACGGATATTTCAGAAAATTATCCTGAAGGTGAACAATACTACCTGGACAGTTGGTTTACCCGTGCGGAAATTTGTCAGCAGCGTTTGGTTTGCTGCCGGGACTCACGACTTCGCGTTGAGAGTCAAAACCAGAAAACGATTGATAGCCAACAAGTTTGGCTCAGATGTTCTAGTTTGGCCAGTACGAGTTCACAAGAACTGCTTATCATTATCGCTGTGTGGGTCTAGCGCACAGCGAGAGTTGTTCACTTATTCATCCACGAGTTCGTTGCCTTTTTCTTTGTGGATATCGTGTATAGACAACAGGCATCACGATCAAACAAGCTGTCCGATGGTGGTTAGCATGCGTGGGTTCTACTCATAAGATTCCGGGTTAGACCCTCGGTTAGATGGATAGATTTGCACTGTTGAAGAAATAAAAGAGCAGCTGTACTGTGCTGACTAAGTAGTCAGTTCACGCCTCGTTTAACCCAGCGAAGACGAAACTCCACGTTATGTTTACGTTTCGCTTACGTATTAGCTCATTCGATTTGTACTTTTCTTTTTCATTTTACTTCTTTTTATTGAACGAACAAAGATACAATTTTCAGGAAGAAAGAAGCGGCCAATCCAAGGGCTTCTGCCATTCAACACACAATGGGGAAAGTCAGGTGGTGGTGGTGGCGGGATTCGAGTACACAACCCGGGGAGTGGTAGTTTGGTGACGTTGCTTACCACCGGGCTACCACCACCCGGGCAATATGTACGGTCTTGAGGTAACCCAAACATGACATTAGAAATTTCTGTAACTATTCGTACTAGGTACTGACTGAGTTGAAAACGCATCGATCACAACTTTTCAATTTCGCGGTTCCAGTTCGTTTGGAGCCACAAAGTGCACCCAGACCCGATGAGTTCGAATAAACCGTTCTGTGTTCGTTTCCACTCATCACACAATACTTTCATCAGCATCCCAACCATCTTCTCATACCGCACAGTGCATAAAATGAAACGAAAATTTCTACCGTATTTTTCAATACTATAGTAGCGAAATTCAATTATGTTTTTCTCTCCGTTGCTTGATTAGCGCTTGCTGAGAATTGGGTGGGTGAGGGATTTCATAACACGAATACGTCGATCATTCAGTTCCGCAAAGTATCGACTGAGATAGATCGTTCAGTGACATTCCAGCACGGTGTCGTGAGGCTTATATGTTCACATTTCCGCAACTGTGTGAAGAGTGACACTGAGCACAGTTTAATCTCATCTCTCATTCGCACTATTTATATTCCCTCCCTGTTTGCCTACGTCTCCACCCCACTCCCTTCCCTCGGGTACTCTCTCTCTCTCTCTCTCTCTC